AGCAAACTGGGCAAGGTCAGATTGGACAGTCTCAGGCCAGCAGAGGGACATCAGTCAGAACAGAGCCACCGGAGGGTCTTAGATCAACTTCTGGTCTGCGGGTTCAGTAAGGGGTTCCTATCTTTGTTAGCTTAGGGGGACAGAAGGAGAAGGCAGTAGACGCTTGTAAATTATTCCTGATGACTGATCGCCTTGGGCATCATGACCCTCTCTGTGCTGGCCATCCCCCTCCTCCAAGGGTCTCGCAGCCGCCCTCCCCCCGAGCCTCCCACCCACCGGGGCTCTAGAGATGGAGGCTGCCTGGCGGTCACGGGAATCATGGAATGAGCTGGTTTACAAAAGGGGTGGGTGAGGAGAGGAAGGAGGGCCCAGGGACTCCTGGACACATTCCCCACAGCTCCCCACCCCCCACCCCGACCACCATGAGCAGAGACCACTGCATGTTCGGGGTCTTGGGAAGTGGGAGGGCCTGGTCTAGCCCAGCACACACCTTCCTGGGGTGGAGGCTGCTCAGCAGGCGCCCTTGGGTGCTGGTCAGCCTGCGTGTCGGTCAGGTTGGCCCTGCGGTCTCTGAGGCCACCAGCAGAACACACGTTTCTCGTGTTTCATCTCCTTGGCTTTATTGATTGGTTATTGATTGTTGATTTATTAATCCAGTTTGGTTCAGGCCGACGCAACAGACATTTTCGGAACATTTACTGGGTGCCAGGTGCTAGGACCACAGAGAACTCACGGTGACTGAACGCAGTGTCCAGATCCCGGGGGTCCCGCCAGCAGCAGACCCACGGGCGGCCCTCCCAGATGTCAAAGGGTCCCATCTGACAGGGTGCTTTCATCTGCCACTGGCTTCCTTGGAATAGAGCAGTAGAAACCCCAGGATCTGGTTTGGTAGGAGGAGAAATGAAGGAAGAGGAAAAGCAAGCAGGGAAGGGGGCTGGTGGAGGAATGAGGAGGGAGGAGGGAGGAGGGAGGCGGGCTGGGGAGGGGAAGGAATGCTGCTCAATGCTCCCACCTGGTGGTGGCCTCGGGAGCTGCAGGGCCTAGAGGGAGGCTGTGTGAGATGCGGCAGCTTGCTGGAGATTTTGTTTTTGGACTTCCTGTGCAGGTCCAGCCACCCGCCACTACGTGAAGGATTCGGGAACCCCTGTCAGCTCTGCCGCTGCCCCCCAGTCCCTCCGCAGCCCTTCGTTCTGCACACGCCCCTCCAAAACCGATGAAGCTCATTGTGGGGCCTTCGTTTCTTCCTCAGACGTAGGAGGAAGAAGCCAATTAAAAGCTCATAGTATGAACAGGCCTTCCTGTGTGATTCATTTGCGCTAATGTGTGCGTGGGGGCGGGGGGCGGTGTCATTTGCTTGGGGGACCATACCTGGGTGATGGAGAGAGTAGCTGACATCGGCCCCCCTTGCACTCCGAGCCTCCTTCACGGTGGTGCTCCCTGTAGCTCTGCGGGTCAGGTGACTTTCTGAAGACCTCAGAGGCAGCCCAGGTGTTCTGGTTTGGGGTGTGGGCGGAGGCCCAGGTGTTCTGGTTTGTATCTCAGCCCCTCGCCTCATCATGACAGCCGGGTGGACCAAGGCAGGTGGAGGAAACCGAAATGGGGCGGGGAGGGCAGGCTGCCCAGCTGCGACTCCCTAGGGGACCTCAGGGCGAGGCCCGGTCCCCAAGCCCCAGGGCGCTCAGAGCATGCGGCTCAGGACGGAGACAGCAGCACCTTTGGCCTCAGCTGCTCCCTTGCCCTGAAGGTGTGTTCAGGAGCCTGGGGCATGGCACCCCCCACAGCGTGTCTGTCCCCCGGGCTGGGAGCCAGCTAAGCACAAGAGACACCTGTCCCCTGTCCACAGGCCTGAGGAGGAATCAGGCTCAGACCAGCCAGCGCAGCCCGGCCCTCCCTAGAGGTAACTCCCTGCGGTAGGGGGCCAGGACAGAGAAGAAAAGCTGCTCCCCAAGAGAGAGGAGAGGCCAGAGGATGGGAGCTGCTCACGTTGCCTCTGGGAAAATCCTGAGCATAAAACGCAGCCACCAAGGTCGTGTGAGCCCTAGCTGGGGTGGCTCAATGGATAGAGCACTGACCAAGGACTGAAGGGTCCTGGGTTCGATTCTGATCAAGGGCACGTACCTCAGGCCGCAGGCTTCATCCCTGGCCCTGATCAGGGCAGGTGTGGGAGGCAACCAATCAATGTGTCTCTCCCCCTCCCTTCCACTCTGTCTAAAAATCAATTGAAAAAACATCCTTGGGTGAGGATTAGCAAACAACAACAAAAAAATGGTGTGAGCACCAGCCATCGGCCCCTCTCTGCTTAGGCTGGGGACCTAGAGAGATGAGGACTCAGTGCCTCACTCGCCCTCAGAGACTTGGAGTCATTCTGCTGCACATGCTGCTAGGCCAAGGGGCCCGGATAAATAGCACATGGCCTTAGAGCCTGAGGGGTAAATGCGGACAGGCCAGCACCTGTCGCCTCCCCACACCTGCACAGCGACGGGGGCTGAGCCTGTGGCTACCTGGTGGAGATGTGAGGTTCAGGGGAGTCCGATCGCAGGGCTGCCTCTGGCCGGCTCACTGCCCACCCGCTGCCCCCCACTTGGGGTCCCTGCCACTCTCCAACGCCAGCCTGGCAGAGTGAGAAGGCCCAGCCGGTGCGGTCAGACCCCTCGGTCGGACTCTGGGCTCTGACACGTATCCACTCTCCCTGAGCCTCAGTTTCCTCGTCTGTAAAACAGGGGAGTCAGAGCTCTTTATTTTATTTTTTTATAGATTATTTTTATTATTTAAAATATATTTTGTTGATTTTTTACAGAGAAGAAGGGAGAGGGATAGAGAGCCAGAAACATCGATGAGAGAGATCGATCAGCTGCCTCCTGCACGCCCCCCACTGGGCATGTGCCCGCAACCAAGGCACATGTCCTTGACCGGAATCGAACCTGGGACCCCTGAGTCCGCAGGCCAATGCTCTATCCACTGAGCCAAACCTGTTCGGCCAGAGCTCTTTAGAGAGGCTTGGCGAGCTCGGCCCTTTTAACCTCGTCAAACGGGAAAGCCTAGGACACGGAGCCCGGCACAGACGGCTGCCCCTGGTCCCTCCGCGGCTCCCGGGCCAAGAGCAGGCGCCCAGGGTCCCAGCCTCCCCTTTTCCTTCTGGGCTCGGGCTCCACAGGTTCAAAGACCGTCGCCTGCTGCTCACAGAGGACATCCACACCATCACCCGACGTGGGTGAGCTGGGAGTCAGAGAACACGGGCACTGAGGGACGGGCTGATTTAGAATCGATTGTAACTCGGGATCCACTGCATGGCATTTATTTTTCTGCCCTTGAAACCATGCCTAAGTCTCTGTCCTCTGTCGGCGAGGCCTTACACAGGAACTGGCATCCAGTAGGTGTTCAGGAAAGGGCCTGGTTGCCAGGTAACCTGGAAGGCCACCCCACCCATCTCCCAGTCTGGGAGACTTGCCCAGCCCGGGCCCCAGGACATAGGGGGATGGAGCCCTCCTGCAGGCCCAAGGCCAGACTCACCTGCTTCCCTGTCTACCTTGGACACTTACTCCTCCCCTCCTCGCATCTGTTGTCCCCCGTGCCCCTCCCTGCCCTGTTCCAGTCCTGCTCTCTGTTTGCCTCTTCAGAAGCTGGTCTGGCGCCGCTGTCTCCAGACCAGCCCCAAAGCCTCTGGGGCAGGACAGCATGGCTTTTTCCACCCTCGTTCTCTGCAGCCGCCTAGGACACTTTGCTCCATTGTCTGGCCAGCTGCTCCATACTCTGATGTCACCCCCTGGACAGTGGGGCCAGAGAGCAGGGACCCGGGGCGGCACCCGGGAGGGACAGAATGAATGCACAGCCACGCGGTGATTTCCTTCGCCTGGGAGAACGCCCTGTGTCCAGCTGTCCTGTTATAACATCAACAGGGAGTGGGCACTCACTGTGCGACGGGACTGGACATCCTGTCTTGCCATCTCCATCACAACGGTCTGAGGCGGGGGCTAATTGGTAGGTGGGGAAACTGAGGCTCGGAGGATAAGAAACTTGCCCAAGATCGCCCAGCTGCTAAGGGGCAGAGAGCCAAGATCAGAAACTAGGCAGTCTGACTTCAGAGTTCTGAATGCTCATGTTATGATATTTCTCCCAGCGTGTCACACACACACACACACACACACACACACACACTGGGCTGGGCTGTGTGGAATCCCATGGGGATCCAAAAGTCGCCAAAGAGCCCGCCTCCCGTCAGCCGCACACTCAGCACCCAGGGCTGTCTGACGACCTTGCCACGTGACGTGGTATTTCTATCGCACACATAAGCCGTCGCGCCCTAGATTCCTGAGCAAAACATCAGCCTGGTGCCTCCTCATCCTTCCAGACAGCTCCTGGGGAAGCCTCGCTGCTCCCGGCTCTGTAAACTCTCCCCGACAAGTCCTGTCCTCCTCCGTGTGGGCACCGACCCCAGTCCCGCATCACTGCCAGGAGGCCTGTGGGCCCAGCTCACCGAGCTGGGGACGGGCGGATTCACTGGCGGGGCCTGGGGCCCGGGCCTGCGGTGTGCTGTCCGACCCCAAGGCCGTGCAGGGGCTTCCCTGGGGTCCCCTCCTTTTCCCAACTCCGGTTCCTGATTCCGTCTCCTCCCACCTCCCCAAGGAGGCGGAGTCCTGCAGGGAGGTGTGAGTAATGCAGGCAGGATAGGTGGCAGGCTCCTGGGCCCTATTTTTGGCTGTGGCCTCATTCTGGAATGTGCCCCAAGGTCGAGTGACACTCTGTGTCAGGAGGAGGAGGAACCCTCGCGGGCACCTCCTGGGGGTGAGGGCCGGGCAGGCAGGTGGCCAGCCGACCAGCCTGCTCCTTCCTTCCCGCCTCTTTGGCTCCTGAGCCCCTCAGCACTGCTATTTCAGGGTCGCGTTGGAGCCTCTGTGTCCACATCCCAGATTACCCCGGGACACGGGACTCTGGCATCCGTGCCATCCACACCCTGGCTGCCCTCAGCCCCACGCAGATGAGGAGAACACAGGTCCGGGCTCCAGCTCCTCCCGATCGGACCCCCCGCCCCGAAGCATGTCTGTTGGGGGAGGTGATGCTTGGGTGGCTTTTGCCCTCCGGGTCTTGCGGAAGCTGCCAGAGCCCTGACGGTGTGACCATGTCCCCATCCCCACCCCGTGCTTTCTGCCTTGGTGTGCGGGACGCGTTCAGTCCTGTCGGAGGAGGGCGGCTGTTTTGTCTTCGTTCCCCGTGGGTGACCGAGAACTGGAGAGGGACCCGGGGTCATAAGGGAGGAAGGGACACGAGTGCTGACGACTCCGAGTCAGACATTACACACACCGTCCAAGTTCATCTCCCAACCCTCTGCGAGCTGATTTTGCTCTTTCACCATCTGACATCTCCCACCCGAGGCTGCGACCTCCAGGAGGCCAAGCCAGTATGTGCTTGGGTCGCCTCTGCATGCCCAGCCTGGCCACAGAGGGCGTTGGATGAATGTGTGTGGGATGAAGGAAAGAGGCAAGCCCTGCAGGCCTCATGGAGGAAGAGACTCCGCTGAGGTATCATTGTCCTCTGGTGACCCCTTATCCCAGGCACCATTCCTCATCTCAACGCACCTCCAGGGGAAACAGACAAAAAGGGGGGAAAGCCTTAGGCTCCTGGTGTGACCAATAACTCAGACGCGAAGCAGTGAGACGTACACAGATGGTGACCCCTCCCAGGCCTCACAGAAGGGGAGTGCCCTTTACCAATGAGGTGTCCGGGTGGCGGGGTTCATAATTTCCATTACTAATAGCTAACATCACCTAATATGTGCTCAACATACATTATCTCGTTAAATAGTTACAACTCCGTGAGGTCTATATTATTCACCTCCATTTAATATTCTCTCCATTTTAGAGATGATGGAAGAGGCTCAGAGAGATTGAAAATGTTGCCCAAAGTCCCTGGCCGAGCAGGAAACCCAGCCCAGGTCGCAAGCCCAGGCATCTAACACATGTATGCTATCTTGCAGCACAGGTTTAAGGATAGTGAAGTGTGGCTTTCTCTCCATTTTGCTTCCTCCCTTTTCCCTGCTAAACCCACCAGAAAGTTTTACTGCCTGGGATTCTGAAAAGACATGTTCTAGGCCAGCTGAGCTTCCCTAAGGATGGTGAGACCATGACCTTCAGTCTAAGTCACAGGTAGAGATAGATAGAGATCGAGATAGAAATAGAGATAGAGATAGAGAGATAGATAGAGAGAGAGATAGAGAGATAGAGATAGAGATAGAGATAGAGAGATAGAGATAGAGATTTTGAGGCTCCTGTCAGAAGTGTAAGAGAGTTCAGTTACTCC